AAAAAAAAAAAAAAAAAAAAAAAAATCACAAGATGGATTTCACGGCGTGTTTCTACCTCATGCATCAGAGCGCTGAGCATCGACACCGAGCTCCGCAGAAGCAAGTCAGGCGTCGCTGGAACCAGCGGCAGAGGAACACTATGAGATTAATTCTCTTGAACTAATGGGATTCATATGAGTTGTGAGGTTCCTAATTTATTTACTTTGTCAGTGACACGCAGACATGCGCGCGCACACAGCAACAGGAAGGGGGGGGACACAAATACAGTAAAAATGCTCCCACTTTACAGTAAGTGAGGGATCGATAATGATGGATGAGGGCCTTTTATACAATCGGCATGTTCTCCTCAGTTCACAGCCATATGACACTACGCCTGTGGCTATCCCATTCTGCACTTCAGCAGTCAATCACATCCCAGCTTTAAAAATAACAGTTTGTTAGCACCATTGATTTAGCACTTAGAGCGTGTCCTTATTACCTTGTAATTATGGTCAGTGTTGACATAACAGCACAGACAACCAGGCCTCCCACCCTCTAAGAGAATTTATGGGCCCTGGTTTTATTACGGCCATTTCATGTGTCTGGGTCCCCAGTTAAGCGACAGACTTGAGATCTAGCCAAGGGCCCGTATTTCACTCACGGAGGTCAGGGTTCTCAGGAATCCCCCGTAAAACTGAGCACCGACGGGGGCCAGCGAGCAGCACAGAAGACACAGGGAAGCCCTCCCAGAGGGCTCATTAAAATGAATAGCCGATTACAGGCCATAATCCAAATAATGCTATTCAGGAGGGAAATGTGATGCTATTAGGACGCAAAATGGGAACAGGTGGAGTCGTGTCGTCACACTAAACCAAACATTCGGAAGCCGCTCGGACATCTCCGTTAAATAATTTACAGCCTTGCTCAGACTCTGGCTTTAAATCCTCTGGAAGATAGTTTGAATATTCTCTTGTAGTCTGTCACCGTGTTATGACTTTGGCGCACAGCTCGACAAAACAAGAGTGATCTGTGTCATTAAGACTGTGAGACACTGCAGCCAAGTCCTGCTTCCAACCTGGACTTGGTTTGCTTTTAAGCTCTCCAGCGAGGTGGTAATCTGATCCGTACAGAGAAAAGTGATACGCCAGGCAGGGCGGAGGATGATTCCAGCAAAGCCGTAGCACGGAGCCAGGTCCCCCCCTTTGTTTCCTCATGTACGCTGCCTCTATCATCCTTACGTGAAAAATGAACATGGCTGTTTTGACATTTTCCCCTATCAACCAGCGCACACAGACAACCAAGGCTGCCATCTCATTAATCTGGCACTGCCAAGAGAGCCACAATTAAAAGTCCATCATGTGCAAAAAATCATATTTCACCTATGCCACGTCTGCTGTCATAATCAAAAGTCTAATTATTCTTCAACAAAAACTCCCCTAATTTATCTTTCAAAATCTAAAACCTCAACTTCTTCAGTTTGCTCAGAAAGTGGGAGCTTTTTTCTGTACTCAAACTGCTCCAACAGGAAAATATCAAGTATAATTAAGATTCAGCTTCTTTAACGAAGGAATCATGAGGTTGAATCCATAAAGTCACAGAGGATGAAGCTGAACACGCTGTAAATTTCTCCCTCCCACTGCTCGTCAGATAATTTGACCTCAACACAGAACATGATGGTTCAATTTCAAACTGAACCAACAGTAACGGTCGGGGAACAAGTCGCTGTAAGCAGCACAGTAAAAGTGCCCAAATTACAAGCCATTGATTTCCAGTAGGGTGGCGTTTCACTGGTAGACACTCTGCATGTAACTACAAGATGGCCATAAAACACAAGGAAACAGATTGAGAGAAAAGAGCCGAGATGCACCTGCAGTTTATGTCAAACAGAAAGGAAGAGCTTCGCATGGCTGCCTACTCAATTAACCCCTGTGATAGAGGCTCCGTAATGAACAACAGCACCATTACGCAGCGCGCGAATGGTGCTTCACCCTAGTGGCCCGGGAACAGACAACGCCACTGCCGGCGCTTCGCTGCTGCATCAAGAAACAAGTGCTCGCTGAGATGTTGGGGATATCAGCGTGCTTTGGAAACGAGGACACAGCGATTACTGGAGTTGAAATATCGTAATAATCTGTTTGTTATTGATTCATGGAGTCCAACACTAAAATATTTAATAACAGCATGTTGTCCCTACTTTGATTTTATGCTCAAAGTGAAAGTTACACAAATAGAAAAACAGGCCGTGGAAGGAAATTTGATTTTGAGGTTTTATTTGGTGTCTGGTTTGTGACGAGGAAGTAGATCACTTCTCTTTTCAATGTATATTTGTATTTTTATTTCGAGTTTTTAAGGCCTGAAATTAAATAAAAAAAATCCAAAACCCTGAGTGGATTCCCTATCGCATAATAACAAATTCACGATTTTCAAGAAACCTCTCTGAATGTTGTTGCCGACGGCCGATGCTGACCTTGCTGATGATGTAGATGAGATCTCCTCTGTGGAAGGACAGCTCATCTGGCTCGTCGGCCTGGCAGTCCCATAGACTCTGGTAGTAGTTAGCGTAATCTGATGACAAAGCTGGGAGGAAATGCGGAGCACAAATTTAAATTAAAAACAGGACAATGGTGTTTTCGTGAACTATCAGGCTGGAAATGTTCTCATTACTAGCAGATGACTGTAATGAGGTTCTGACCTGGTTTGTTCTCACTGCTCTCAGCTGGATTCAGAAAGTCCTCGTCTGAAAAAAAACATAAGTGACAGAACATTTGTATTTGCCTGTTGACCTTTGTGAGCAGGAAGATTTGCAGAAGCCAAAAGTTTCAATTAAATTGTTTCTACATTTTCTGCTTGAAGTGAAAACAATTTTTCAATAGATTTATTTTTATCTCACACAAAACAAACATAAAATAAATTTAAAAAAGCATCGTCAGACAATCTCCTGGTTTTATCTCCGTGTGACAGAAGAAGTCGATTTTTCTTTCAGCCGACAGAACTCCTCAGTGTGATCAGAGTTATCAGATTTATCAGACGGGACCAGTTGAAGAGCACGAGGCTGCCTTTAAGGCACGTGGAGGCGGACGTGTCATCGACTGTGGGGCGTGGCACCCGGTGGTCTGAGAGGTGACACCGTGATACGCCTGCCCTCTGTCTCCCACATCCATCCTTAACACTAGCAGGCTGACAGCAACGCCACAACCCAGCAATACTATCCACCTTCCAGCACAACCTGCGCCTCTGCTTCCAGGAAGAGCAGGAAGGACACACACACACACACACACACACACACACACACACACACACACACACACACACACACACACTGTATATACACCACATGTATATTTGTGACCATCGGAACAGTCGGTGTTCGGATGCAGAAAGTCTCAAACCCACACAATGATTAGAAATTACTCAAATTTTCTAAACGGATTATTCCTAGATTCTTATATTTTTATTTTATTCATATAAAAATCACAGAAAAACATGAAAAGTCATTATTTTTGTTTGCAAAGGGTCCAACACATTTGCTGAGCAATCTTCCACTGCTGTGGAGAAGAGCATCCCTCAGTCGAGAGGCCACAGCTACGGGCCAACGGTTTCTATATCAAAGTGATTTAATTTTCCAGTCAATAAAATCAGTCATCAGCTCCAACGCTGCGTTCTGCCGGCAACTGAGCCGTGTTCGGAGTTTTGTTCAGACATAAGTGAGGGAGCTTGTCATGTAGAAAATGATGCTTCAGTCCTCCGCTGCATCTCTTCACACGTTCACTGTCACTAACTTTAGGAAAATAATCTTAAACTTGAATTCTTACAACGTAATCTTAAATAATCACGAGAGCATTACAGGATGTTACCGTTTGTTTAGAGAGAAGATGCGTTTAATACAAGCAGCTTTCCTCATCAATGAAAATAAACTATAAAAATCTAATGACTTAACAGGATATAATCACTGTGCGGAAGCTGGAAGTGAGCAAAAGGGAGGTGCGGAATGATTGATAAGTGAAGGGGTGAGAAAGTGAACAAAAGAGCCCGTCATTCGATATGCCATCTGTGGTCAGGGTCTGTACCTCTTCCCAGATGGCTCTGAACGCCGGTGTGACAGTCTGAAGACTGATCTCCCTCTCACCAGTGATTTTGGCAAAGGTAATGTACTCACTGAGTGAAACAGAATCTTGATGTATCTTATTTAATAGAAAGAGTGATGGACGACGGCGCTGAGAAGATCGGATCACCCCCTTTTGTCCTTCTCGGGATCTTGTAGCCACCCTGACACATGGGACCGTCTCCGCCTCAGCAAAGACTTTCTCTCACACGCACACAAACACACACACAGCTCGTCTCGTAACGGTCTCAATCAAACTCTAATTTCTGTAAAAGACAAGACGTTCAGAGCTCCACAATTATTTTAAGCCCTGCGAGATGCAGTTTTTATTTCCCTTTCAACTAAATTGCTGTTGCTAGGCAATTTTAGCAAAAACTCTGCTTAGTGGATTGAATTGTAGAGCTATTTGTTGCCTGGCAACATGAGCTAATTGGATGTACAATGACAGAGCATTCAGGGCCAACCTGGCTCTCGCTGATTTCGACAACATACAGTAACGGATTCTCGGTGAGAGGACAGAGACCGGCGGAAGGCGATTTCTCGTCAGCGCCAGGAGAATCTTCTCCTTGTCCTGTGCGGCTCTGCGGCGGCCGCCCTGGTCCTGACAGGCTTATTAGTGTTGCTTGATTTAAAATGAGCGATCAGTCTGGGTGTTGTGGTGATGGGGAGGCACCTGGCAACACGAACTTCACAGCCAGAGAAGCTCATCACAAATATTTTCTTGCTGCAAACACCCCCGAGGGCTGGAGTGTGTGTCTATTTGTCTGACTGAGTGTCACACGTTGGTGCGAGCAGCATCTTCCTGTCTATTTATCTGTGTGTGGGCGGTTGCAGTGACCACATCCTCATACCTGGCAGCACCTCGTAGATATCCTCGTCCTCTTCATCAACCTCCCCTGTCTCCTGCTCTCCTCCCTGTTTGGCGTTCCGAAAGGCCCGGGCAGCACCGGGCCCCGGCGGGGGAGTGTCTTTCACCCCCTCGATGTCATCATAGGTCTCTTCTTCTATCTCCTCCTCCTCATCGTCGTCGAAGGGGATGAAGTTGGAGTTGAGATCTATGAGGGACGGAGAGACGGCGTGATGGGCGGCATTAGCTTCAAGATGGGGCGCAGCACAAAAGACACACACACACGTATTAAAAGGGCAAAGTAAGAGAAATGCCTGAATGGTCATGACGGCACAACAGGCCAGGACACGTGCCACATCGCAGCAGTCACAAAACACTGCAGGCTTGTATTCAGGCTGCATAATGTCATAATGATTTTTATATTTTTTATTTTCATGTTTTATCGTGTATTTTATTGATTCAGTTATTTGTTGAGTCTATAAAATGTCTGAAATTGTGAAAAACAAGCTGACGCCTCTGAATTGCGAACGCTTCATTCCTTAAAATCAATCCAGTCAATGATGAACAGAGAAAAGCAGCAGATTTTAGAAGCACGACGTTTGATAATGTTGCTCATCAAATTAAGATGATTATCTTCAGGGTCTCTGCATCGTTCACAAAGTTAAATTCAACATCTTTAAAAGCTAAATTATGAAAGACAGCATTAGGGACAGTGAGACCTAGAAGTATTTAATGGATTTCTACCACATCTTTATAGTTTGTTACGTCCTAGAAGTGTAAAAAAAATATATTTCCAAATAATGATCATCATCTAGATAAACAGCAGGAAATGCTCTGATGAGTGGAATAATGGATTTTCTAATGGGAACTTTTAATACAGATTTTGCTCGAATCATAAGAGGAAGAAGAAACGTATGAAACTAAACTGATTTCATCCCACTGCCCTCAAGATTAAGATTAACCGTGTAATATCTCTGGTTGCATATCATACCCCTCCGTCTGTCGCTATCAGATACAACAGCGACCACAAAAACTAAAAGAGAACATGTTGCAAAGCAAAATGAAGCTTTTCTTTCTTTCTGAGGTAAATTCAGGAGGATTTAAAAAAATCATCTGCATCTCCTGGATCAGACTGCATCTCGTAGTAAAACTGGACTGGAAGGAAGTAAGACAAACTGCTGAGTGTCTGTTACTTCCCGCAAATCGGTGGCCCAGCCCCGAGCCCTTTTTAGAGTAGACGAGGCAGGACTGCTCGCTCAGATGGAGGAGCCGTCTCATTGCAGGCGACTGGCCACTGCAACACAGGGTATCAGGTCCTCGGCCGTACAACAGCGGCCAAGCAGAAATCAATGTCACTGGAGGATAACCAGAACATCTACCAATCAATTTCCTGTAAGTTGGAATTTGGTAGGAGGGTAAGGGGGGAGGAGGAGAATTAGAGCTAGTGCACGTGACATGGTGGGCGACTTGTGGACTTAGGAGATTCAGGCATTCAGTGATGGATTTGGTGGCTTTAATTGGAGTCAGAGATGATAAAGGGCTCTCTTCCACTTCTGACCTTTCAGCCCCTCAGGAACACAAGCAAACTTTGGAAGAGGGTTTTTATTCTGCTTTAAATTGTATTTTCTGTTTCCTCTTTGTAACTATCAAATAGTCAAGTCATTTTATTTATACATCCAGGGAAAAAAAAGGCTTACCTCTAAGAACAAAATTGATTTGGTCCACCCATTCTCTGGCCTCTTGAGGGCTGCTGGCAGTGAACTGGGGGGGGCAGAGTGGCAATAATCCTGAAATTATCCTCACATCTACGGATGCATCAAGCAGAAATTAAAGTCCTGGTTTTTCCTCTTTGAGATACAGAACAAATGTCTCTCTAGCTGGAAATTTCCCTTTTAAGATAGAAAATTGCATTACATAAAAATCACATTGATCAAAATATTAAAACAGAAATAAAAATATATAAATCTGCCAGATTACAATATATCGACAGTATTTATTTATATAAACATAATCACGTATTAAAGGTTAAAGTAAGGATCATTTAAATTACGAATCATTAATGCACTCAGTTAATCAACTTGTCTATAATAAGTATAAAACAGGTCAACACATCTTAAAAACCTCCACATTTCAAAGAAATACTAATATTGTAGAAGAAAAAAATATATGTGAATGAATCATTTCAAATCTAATCACATCACATTTATACTTGTTTTTCAAATAAGTGTCACCACAGTACAAAAAAAAAAAAAAACTTGTCGCTGCTCCCTAGTGGCTCAAATATGTAACAGAGCCTGTTTCAGAATTACATGAAACCTTAGTTTCTTAATAATTTTGATGTGTAGATGTATTTTAGTTGTTTCCTCTAGAGGAGAGAGTTCTCACGTAGTCTCAAAACAACTCTATATCTCTTCCCTTACTTTTAATTCCCAACACATTCTTTTATTTAGGTGAAGCTGTAATCTAATGGAGGCTGTGGTGCTTATCCAGACCTGAAACGCCCGTCGTCCAGGTGCCACGAGTTCGAAACAGGCTTTTTTCCTGGAGTCTTTTCTCAGGTTGGTCACCAGCTGCACGCTGTACTCGTTGATGTAAAAGGAACCCTTCTGCTGTTTATCTGTGGGGGAGGAGAACAACGCGGTGGGGCTGTTATCTGATTCAGTTTAGGTAGCGGTGAGGTTTCTGCATGGTGGCTTTTCATACAAACCTTTTTCACTCCCAAAGTAGTAGAATATGGAGTTGTTCAGGACGCACCATCTCCTCTGCCACTCAGAACCAAAGAAGCCGTGGTCTAATTCAATTAAAGATATTCAGGTTTATATCAATATACAGCATTTACACATGTATTATTGAGTATTTTACTGAAGCCGTTGTTATTATTGTTCACATGCAGAAAATCTGAGCAGCACTGGTGTCTGGAAGCTGCTGTACCTTTTCGTTTCTTCTCCAGGTAGCCTTGTTTCAAGATGTTGCTGAGGTCCTGAGCTGCCACAGGAGGGATGTCCCCGAAGTCTGTGAACACACAGTTAATCCACATAAGAAACACAGACGGCACGGAGGGATTTTTGGTGGCAGATGCAGATACGAGGGAGTAAAACATTTCTGATACTGATTTTAAAAAAAAAGATTCCCAAGATGTCTTTTAGTGAAAGGCTCATATCAGCCAGTGTTATTGGTCGACTGACAAATTTGCTGTGGCTCCAATAATTTAATAGTTAAAAACGCACAGAGCTCAAGGTGACTTCTTCAAAAAGCTTTTTTTAAGCCAACGGTTCAACATCCAAAGATATTTGATTTATAATGAAAGAAAGACAAAAGCAACAAATCATCACATTTGAGAAGCTCATTAGCTTAAATAAATTAATCAGCTAATTTTTTCCACCACCAACGCCTCACTAGCTGCAGCTTCATCACACTCACACACACACAGAATATAAAGGCTCCAACCCTGTGGATCAAATACATCCCTGCAAGGCTTTAGGAAACTGGGATCAATACATTTACAGTGCTGCTGAGCACTGCAGTCCATTCATCTGCTCACATTGCACTTTTAATGGGACTAACCTTCCTGTGGGGACTCGAACAACTCTCATCAATTTGCAAAGTCAAACTTTTAGCATGATAGGACAATGGCACAACCTTAAGAGCCTCAAGTTAATTAGTGCAGTTGTTGGAAAGCAATGCACAATGCATTTCAGATGGCATTAAGTCGACTGAGTCATCTGTGCAAGGGAGAAGTTTTAAGATGACTTTGCTCGGCTTTTTATGTTAATGGAGAAGCTGGGATCTATATGTGATTATACATGAAGTGTGTTTAACCACTCGCCCGCCAGAACACTTCCGGAGAAGCGGTTTGAACCAGCTGTTCCTTGTTCAAGATAGTTTTGAAGTTCTAACGAGAAATGAGCTCACTTGACCTGTTGTCTCGCCTTCAGTCGTTGACCCCTGGTCGGCCTGCGGGGCCATTTTGTGCCCCGTACTTCAACAGGACTACCCGGTTTTTCCGTGTGTCAGAAACAAAGCTCGGCTTCCTCTGAATTCATTAGTCAACAGGCATTAGTCTTGCGAACAGGAACCGCCTTTTTAGTCTGAAACACAGGAACAATTTAAAGACCATTTACACTAGCCTGTGTGACACCTCACTCAGGCCGCTGATGACAAGGGGAATGCCTGAAGTCCATCCCCCTCAAAGGGGCCCTGTTTAACTGCTGGGAAAACCCAAACATGTCACCCCAAACAGGTTCCTCTAGCTTAAACAAAGACCCCCACCCCGTCGGTAGAAAAAGCAGGAACCTCGTTCGGATTTAAAAAAATTCACAACATGAAGTTACTCAAAATGTCCGCTCTGAAAGTTGCTGTAGGTTCTCTGGACTTTCTGGAGAATGATTCTCACAGTGAGCAAATGAAGTAGATATTGGCCTTTCTCCTGGTTAACATTCCTGGGATTTAACTTCTCAACAGTCCAGCGTGTGATCCGACAACGCCGTGTCGCTGCAGCTCGTGGGCCTGACAGATGAGCAGGTCATTCCAGAGCAGAGCCCCAGACACCTCACGGCTCTAACACGCTCACATATCATCGGCCTGCCTCTGTGGACAGACTGACCGGTGACACAATAAATACAGAGGTGCTCAGGACTGTTTTGTCAAAGAGAACCTGAGTCAGTACATCATAACAAACAGCAGTCATTATGCTCCTCCACCTCATCTGTCCGCCGGCAGCCCGTCCATTTTTTCCTTCTGGGTCTGCTTCCCTGTTGCGGCCCACTTCTTATCCCCTCATCCGTCTGCTTCCCTCGCTCTTCATTTATCTCCGAGGTCGAGCCCGGCTAATAGATGAGGAGGTGCAAAATCAACATGGGATCGCTCTGATCTGCTCGAGTCAATAAACATTACACATTTGTGCGTGTTTAACACTTTAGCGCAGAGTGACCTGACCCGTCCTGACTGTCCTTTGTGTGAATCCTCAAATGTGAGTGAAACAGAGAAAACTGAAACACGTGCACAATAGTTCTGGTTTCTTCCACGGGGTCGCAGCAAAGCCTAAAAGCATCGCGCTGCTTAATTCTGCTCACTCAGGTCCCTGATCCCTCCCTAAACAAAAGCAGAGCCTGATTGGTCCTGAGTTAACAATGCCTCTTTTAATGAAAATTACACACTAACACCTCTTTGGGACCAATGCAGTTTTAAGTGGATATTCAGAGGTAATGTTATTTGAAAACGTGTCATTTAGAGCGTTAAAAATAAAAAAAAAAACCGCAGCAGCCATCATGGTGTTTGAGTTTTGAGTTTGAGTACAGGCACAGAGAGACACATTAATGCATCTAATTAAGGCCTCATCAAACTCGCAGACAGACGGCACTCTTTCATAAAAATCATAAATTGCGGCATCAATTATTCAGGGCAATGCCATGACTTCATTTTCATCCCTTTTGCGTTTTAATTAGCCCCATCCACAGCTTTGGTATTGACATTAATTTGATGGCAATTTATTGATATTTCAGCATAACCTATTTAGCTGAGTGCAATTACCAACAAAGAGAAGCAGATAGATGTGATGTTGGGAGTCGCTTCCCGCGTTTCGTAAATCAAGGTGAGGACTTGCCACGGGCCGCGCTAACTGAATCTAACGGCTCTCGGCGGTAATCAGCAAGAAAAGATTTTGAGTCACCCCATTTCCAAATGGAAGGAGATAATCAACAGAAATATGTGTTTAATTGATCCCGACAAAAGGAGCATTTCCATAAGGGAGCTGACCTGTGTGCTGGCGAGTGCTGCGTTCTGTCGCCTCCCCTGAACTTGTTTTAAACTCGTGATGGGGTGGGTGTGTTTCAGAGGGGTGCGCACAACAATGCATCTGAGCTGGCAGCAGTTTGCCACAGCTACAATCTCTCATTTGGTTATTCACACTCTCTCAGCATGGTGTTATGAGCTCAGCAGTTGATCCTGCAAGAAAGGGCTGATTTATGTTAGCATGACCAGAGGGAGTTAATGTATTCTCTCATTAAAATCCACTTTAGTTAGGCTGAAAGTCAATCAAAGGCTGGATAGAGAGTGAATCAAAATGAAGGCAAATGGTTGGGTGGGAGGACTAATACGTTACATTAGATCTAACGGTGGTCATAATGCAACGGAGATGTTGTGAAAACACAGAAATGCACTGGAGATGTTGAGTGGTACAGATGATGGCGACGGTAAAAGGAAAGTAAGCAGGCGCTTCATTATCTTTTCCTTTGGAGAGCAGGAAGGGAGCGAGGAGCCACAGCACAGGGATGGTTCAGACCCAGCAGGGGCTCATGCACTTTCAGTCAGGGGGGTCTGCAGCGTTATTGTATCCGCAGTTATAGAAACACTTCCGTTATCATTTACATGGTGAGAAACTGGGGGAAGTAAGGAATTAAGACTTATCGGGATTAAAAAATCAGGCTTGAGAGTTTTCCTCCCATCTTTACACATTCCGTGCAGCTTTTTCATGCTTCAAAGATTTAATCCACACAATTGTTTTTATTGTTACTTGAAATGATGCAGATTTATAGATTCGCAATATATTAAAATGTGTCCTCGTGGAAAATTACTGTATTTATGATGTTTGATAGACGGTGTCGTGTGAAACAAGTGTGATGGGTGAAATGTCTCTAAAGACATGAAAATAAAAATGAACTGATTATTTTTGCCTCGCTCTGTTCATCATCTGCTGTATTAAAATCTGCGTGTGGCGTCTAATACTGGTTGTCACAAGTGTCTAATCTATTCCTTCTATCTTTCTTTTTTTTTTTAGTGTGTGTGTCATGCATCTTTAGTATTCAGTCATTTATTATTATCTCCATGCTTGTGAGGCTAAATCGTGAATTTATTTTCCTTTGTGATGTTGACAGTGTTTGTTCGATCGTCATGTGTTCGTCTGCAGCAACTTTTATTGGGTCTCTTCATTTTCAACATGATCTACGACTCTTTTATGCTTTTTTTTTTTAAGTCTGCCTTAGAGCATCGTTTTTTAATATTGATGCTTCACTTATTTTCTGTATCAAACAACAGGAGTTAGATTCAAACCGCTTCTTTTCTTCAAATACCAATATTATAATAAGAAAACCAGAAGATGTTAAGTGCCATGACATTTGAGAAACTGTTTTCAAAAATGACTTAAAACTATTAGAAACTGAAAAGTCGGTCATCGCTTCAGATTTTTAACATCGAATAGCCAAAGGGCCGAGCATGAAAATGAACCTCACGGCAAATAAATATCACACAAATGTTTTCAGAGCATCATTTCTATTCTGTATGAATGTAATGTAATGTAATTTTTACTTTTAAATCACAAGCTCCAGAGAAAACACGACGCTGCCGACAGGATTTACTTGTAAAAACACAAAAACAATTGAGGATCAATGGGATTAATAAATCTGTTTAGGAGCGAGTAGAAAAGGTGACACCCCCCCCCAGTCACGCAGCACAGGTTGGAATCAAAATCGGCAAGTTGTCATATGTTTTCTTTCTCCTCTGCTTAGTCCTTGAGCACGGGGGCTTTCACAGTGCCTCCTCGGTGCAAGAGGTATTGCATTGAATGCAGCATCGGGGGGGGCAGGACCCGACCTCCGCGTGAACTCTGCTGATGAGGTGAAACAGAAGGCAGAGAGAGGCTCCCCGGCCCTGAGGGGGGCTGAGGGGAGGAATGCCGCTGATTCTACAAACGAAGCGAGCGAGACCGCAATCCTCTTCGATACTGTCCTTGATTAGGAAAAAGGATTCACTCAGTGCACCTTCACCCACCCGGCGCTCAATCTGCGAGCAGGCCAGAGCTAAATTGATACATTTTTCCTCATTACAGCAGGAGGCCTTTTGCTGCTCGTCCCTGCAGCGAGGCGGCCGTCAGGAGGGAGGAGAGAGACTGAGCGGCACTGAGGTTAAGGGCAGAATGTCTTCCCTGCCCTCCTCTCCTCCCCCTGATTTGATTAGGACTTCAGTCATCGATACATAAACCGTGTTTAGAAGCTCCTAATGCACGTGTTTGAACCAAA